ATTGCTCACAAAACTTCAGGTCATAGTTTGATTAAATAGTGTTGTGTTTATAATTCCTTCTAAGTGTGAGTTATCTTACAATTCCATGTGACGTTCCGTAGCCCTCCTGCCAGCGTTTAAAGACCAGTATGGGGAGAGGCTGCCACCTGCAGGTCAACCCTTGCTGCTTTGCTTTCCATTTCTGATCACTGTGGTTTCCTGACAGCCTGGGGTGCGATGTGCTTTGGACAATCCAGTATACGAATTCTGGAACTGGGTTGTCACAGATTACTGAAGCTTGACCGTCCTGAAAACTGTCATTCTCACAAGCCTTCATTTCTATTCTTCCCCTCTGATGACTGTTAGTGACTTTGTGGCTGCATATTTCCCAGCCTTGGGGTTGTCCAGGCTTACTTTCTCCGCATCTGTGAGCCAGCCTGTCTGGAGATGAGAGCCCATATGCTGCTGAACCTGCTGTATGGCCTCATTCCTCTGCTCCTTCTTTCTCTGACCACTGCATCACAAGCATGCTGGTAACGTCCCTTTGTCCCTTTCTCAGCCCCCGGCCTGATGCTGCCCCCCGTTTTGTGGCCAGCCCTGTGCCTACCTAGTCTTGGGTCATGAATCACTCTGGTTATCCTTAGCTTGTCCGCAAAGTGACACAGGCTTGAAGCATGACTCTAGGGGATAGACAACCTGAGTTTGAGGCTTCCTTTACTCCTGATCACCTGTGTTACAACCTCACCAAACCTTAGTCTTATTTGTAAAATGGGACACTTTTGCTTTCAGCTGTGTCATGTGTTAACATGGTTCCTGCATGCAAAGCACTTGGCTTCATTTTCTTGGTTTCGAGATAGAGTCTCAATCTGTGACCCTGGGTAGAGTGCTGTAGTGTCATAGCTCACAGCAACCTCAAACTCCTGGGCTCAAGTGATCCTCCTGCCTCAGCCTCCTGAGTAGCTGGGACTACAGGCACTGTCACTACACCTGGCTAACTTAGCTTCCCTCTTGTTACTCATAAGCCTGATGCGTGCATGACCCTACTACACATATCTGCCATCACTAGTTAGATTCACCAAGATAGACCATAGGACTTTCTCCCTTATATTTATTGCCAAATTCATTTGTAATCTTCATTTTCTTCCTTCATGTACTTTGAAGATCCCCTTAATTGGAAAGTTGGGCTTTGCAACCCTGGGGCTCAGAATCCAGTGTCTGATCACCAGCACAACAGAAATTGTTTGCAGTCTGCAGAGAAATGCCCCTGAGTCCTCTGAACATTTGAAGCTTATCCAGCTTCACTTGTCTTTTACCTAGTCAGTGCTCTTTAAACCAGACTTTGTGGCTCGGCGCCTATAGCTCAACCGGCTAAGGCGCCAGCCACGTATACCTAAGGTGGTGGGTTCGAATCCCCAGCCCGGACCCACCAAACAACAATG